AGTTCTATTGTTAAAGAAATATTGTTCCAACAATTATAAAATCAACGATGGACATCCTTCCATCATGTATAAAAAATTGCAACATTTTTGCGACTGCCACGAGAAATCATTTGGCGAATTAAAAGAAGCATTGTTCTCTATCGAACGATTCTAAAATCGAGAATAACTATCCTCCGCGATCGAAGAGATGCAACATTTTTTTCTGGCACGTTTGCATAGCACGTGGTATCGGTAAGCATTGAAAAGGGAGGCCAATGGGGCGCATCTTCCGAGGGGTGGCCACCCTCCCATCATTTTACTGTAACGAATCGTTGATTAATCTGTCCTCGGCTGTGTATAATCATGCGGACGCAACCTCGTGACCAACGAGCCCGGCCATGACTGCATTCGGAAAAGAAATCGCCGGTCGAGATTCTCGCGGTAAAGATGTCTGAATGGCGATGGCAAAAAGATTCCCCGATATTTTACGGTGGTAGTCATATTTTTATCTCGTGGCGCGGCCACTGCGACAACCGCGCCAGGGTCGGACCAAGGGAAGTCAAGGGTTACTACCCTGGCCCGTGCAATGTTTGGCCACCCCCGACAACCGTCGCGACCATAAATCTTACGATCGTCAAGGGACGACTCATTCATGCCACTTTGCTTTCCGACCGATATCCGAGCCGCAGGAAACTCGAGGACTCCGGCGACTTTCGGCTCGGTCAAAGCGGAGGAGTGTCTTCGACCTGTCTTTACGTTTCTTTTCGCTTTTTCTCTGTCTTGCGCGAGTGACAAGGGATGATTTCGTTTTCTATCGTATTATAAATTCGCTGTCATGTTATGCCGTAGAACGGGCTCTGGACAATTCTGGGCACAGTGTTCAAAAATTAAACAGTACGTTAACATTATATAAAAATAAATAAAGTATATATTATATAAATATATATTTATATATAAATAAGAAACGTTATATAAACAGTATATTAAGTTTTCGATCAATTTTCAAAATACATTTTCATTGCAATATATTCCAACCAACTATATTTGACTAGAATGTTTCTAGAATGTTTAAAATTTTAACCTTCTAATTCCAGTTTAATTAATTCAATTGCTTTAACTTTGTGGGAATTTTAATGGTTGATCGTGGGCGTCGAACGTGTTGAAGCGTGGCAAGTTGTGGCAAATATTGATTTATTGTGTCCTATTGTAAATCTTTTGTAGATTTCGGGGGTATCAATGTGGTGGCAGAAGTGTTCATTAGAACATTAGTATTAGCTTATTACATAATCTTTTGGGTTGTCCTTCCTTCTTCTTTATGGGCCGGCTGAAACTTAGCCTCGTAAACATAAAGGGGATGTTTTGTGACGCTATAGCAACCATTATGTTGCGATGATCACGAGGAAACGACGCTAGTAAATTATCCTCACGGAAAGACCTCAACATAAACTCACTGTTACAAAACTGCACTTTGTTTTCAACTAAAAATAACTCCGATTATTGAGATAAAGATCAAGAAAATCACTGTAATATAATCACTGTTTTAATATAATCACTGTACTAAAACTGTGCTTTATTACCAGATAAAAACGAATACGATTAAAATCAGTTTGTACGAAAATTGAACTAAAAATAATTCCAGTTACAATTCTCTATATAAAATCACAGACTGCAATGAAACTGAACTAAAAATAATTACAATTACAGTTCAGTATATAAAATCAGACTGCATAAAAACTGAACTAAAAATAATTACAATTACAATTCAGTATATAAAATCAGCCTCTGAGAGAACTAAATTAAAAATAACTACACACAATTACAATTCATTACATAAAATCAGTCACTGAGAAAACTAAACGAAAAAATAATTACAATTCAATAAATAAAATCAGTCACTGAGAAAACTAAACGAAAAAATAATTACAATTACAATTCAGTACATAAAATCAGTCCCTGACAGAACTAAATTCCAAAGAATTACAATTACAATTCATTATATAAAGAAAACCGAGCCAAAAATAATTCCAATTCAATTCGTAAAATCAGTCAACAAGAAAACTGAATCAAACTTGAAGAGCAATAAACGAAGACCAGTACCAAGAACTAGAACCGATTGCGACAAAAACGAAGAAAATCCAAAATATCTCTGGCCGATGAGGGAAAACAGCGGACTCCGAGAGGAAAGGAAGTCGAAGGGGGTGCGCGTCAGGAGAAGGGTGGCCGGAGGAATCGGTCGAAAGTGCGATTCCACGGTTTTTCCAGTATTTTTTTCGGCGTGGTCCGGCCGGAAGGGCGGCGTTTCCAGGGCAGAAAAAGTTAATAGCGTCGTGAAATTAGCCGACGCGGGGCGGATCGTTGATCGGAGGGTTGCGCGCGTATCGGCCGTGGGGTGTTCTGCACAGATGCAACGATAGCAACAGTTCGGTGTCGGCTCGTTCAGACAGGAGGCCACATATGAGCTCTGGAGCCTAGCCGGGGCATCGTATGGGCTTGACTCACACGCATCACGCGCAGTCATCCATCATTGTCAGTCTCTTCACTGACACAGCCGTTCGTCCGGTCTACGGACGCGCATACGGGACTCTCCCGATTCGTGACCCTCTCTCTCTCTCTCTCTCTTTCCTCCCCTCTTTCTCTCTCTCTCTGTCTCTCGTTCACCCTCTTTGTTCCTCTCTTTCTCTCCGGTCCGCGTGTTCTGATTTCCCGAAGCTCGAGCCAGAAGTTTACACGGCTATCGATGCCCCGATACTCCAAAACGATGCACCGACGGTTTTCCGCAAAATTGTCCATATCGAAACTGCTGCAATTCGGTGAACAAAAATTCCACGCCAACGAAACTGGGCTCATTGTGAAGCTCGAGGCCTCTACTTTTACCGCGCATAGTTCAGTTTAATCGAGGACGGCTTTGCGTAATGTAGATTCGAGAGAATCTACGAGAAATCGAAGCGACGTTCTTTCTCGGTACCGGTGTAAATTGTAACGTCTCCGGAGACTCGACAAAATTTGTCCCGCGACTGAAACTAACGCGAATTCGAAGATTCGAGTCTCCTCTTCGCAACGACCGTTCAAAACTTGCCGTACGATTTTTTTGAAGTCGTTCTATCGAGCGCCGAACGACGAGAGTATGATGTTTGAAATTTCACATTTCTGTTGCACACACAGGACGGTAAAAAAATTGCTCATTTGACACACCTGACACGAAGTAGGTCGTTTCAATTCCATCCGGCAGATATCTGGCGTTAAAAAGGCTGAGTTTTTCTGCGAATCAGGCCCGCGTAGTTTCTTTTTGTTAGTTATCCGAGCGGCGCTTTTGATGTAATTTAAAGGATGCGTCCGATGAATGGACGGCTTCGTTGCAGCAGGTCTTGCACCGTTGTCCACTAATGCACAGCTGACACCGGCGGGCTATCTGGAACGATCTCGCTTAGGATCGCGGGGGGAACGTCTGAATTTCGTAGGGAAAATCGCGCCGGTGCCTCGGAAAGAGGCGACTGAAATGTATGTATTTGGATCGCCGTTTCCTGCGAGCCCCGTGTCGGCGAAGGAACCGACGATGATGGATGACTCGAAATATCAGAGCAATCGAACTGAAATATTATTTTTAGCGTGGCCCTCTCGCGCGCCGCGCTCGATCCATATTTTACTGACGCGATGCGCCGCATTTATCACCCTATTAAAATTGATTTGCGCGCGCGAATTGCGCGGCTGTCGACAGCGATCGCGTCCTTCGGCGGATCCGCGTCCTTTCCCAACGAAAAATCCCTCGATCCGCCCCGATCACTATCTTCTAAACGATTTGAAGCACAGCCTTTTGCACTTTACGTTTGACACGTGAGATCGATAGTTGCTGTTGCATTTTCATTATTTATGCATAAACCTGTTTTCAAGAGTGTCTGTTTTCATCATTTTAATCGAGATACGGTTCGCCTTCGACACAGACGAAATCAATATTTCCTGTTACATTTCAATTATTATTTATCCTTTGTTCTGGAATATTTACTTTGATCATTTTAGTTAGCAATTGAAATCATTAACTTACGCTTGATCTTCGACACAAATAAAAGTAATGTAATGCAAATGTAATGCTGTTGCATTACAATTATTTATGCAGAATCGTTTTTCAAGAATACTCGTTTCAATTATTTTAATTGAGTTACAATTTAACCGCTTGCACTTTATTTTCGACACAGATGAAATCAGTATTTCCTGTTGCATTTCAGCTATTCGATCTGCTAAATGTAACCATTCTTCATTTCTTCGAATTCGAAACAATATTTGATACACCTGCTACCAAAACTGTAAGACAAAAGTAAACGAAAGCACGCAATACGTGGCACACAAGCGTGCAACGTAGCTGTGAAAGAAATTGCAATGCAAGGGATTAAAAGGTGCATCGATTATCGCTCCGGTGTTTCGAAGCTGTTCTCCATCGATTACCGATGATTCTCGCTGGGAACATTCCGTGGAAGACTGAAATATGTGTTGATGAGATCGGACGATTCCATCCCGAGCCATTTTTCAATTTATTCAAAGATCCTCGGCGCTCGGATGAAGTTGATGAACGTGGAACGAACGAGGAAAGAATGGGAATCGAAGATCGTGATTAATTTCCCCACCTTTCATTGCCTGCTGTCCCCATCTGGAAACCATGGACTGCAGATGTTTGTGAAACAGATATAAACGAAACGATCGATCGATCTCTTAATTTATAAAAACGACGCATCAACGCTGTTCCATTGCACTTCCTCCATAAATTCCAGGTTTGTTCCAGTCGCCGATATTCGAGCAGCTCCGAAATCAGCGGCTCGCCTTGTCCATTGTTCGCTGATAGATAGATAAGACCGCGGATTTTTATGCAAAATAATAATTCAGTATGGAAACAATGTATCCATAATTTTCGAACAATCTTATCACCGTTTCAAATTGCATCGACCGGTCACGTTCGCGAATGCATAAAATTCGCGGTCCACCGAGAAGGAAGAGAAAAACCGGAAATAAATGACAGACAATGCGGTTTTTTTTTTAAGTTTGGTACGACCTGTATTTTGCGTCGGTGAACGAATGTACACGTGTGTGCGATGATCACTGATAGATTTTTTTTCGCTCGAATCGAGGATATCCTCCTCGTCGCTCGGGAATTATACATTCAGAATTGAATAAACAACGTGTGGTGGACGTGTGTACATGTGTACGGTGTCGTGTCTCTGTTCCTCTTATACGTGTGTATGTACCAGTGTCGATACGTTCGCCTCGTTTCCTGTGTATGTGTGTGTATGTGTGTTACGATTAACGTAAGCGCGCTATGTACAAAGAAGATTCCTCGTGTAAACAGCCATGGCTCCTAATGCTTTTATACAAGCCAGACGACGGCTTCTTATTCCCGCTGTTCAGGTGAAAATCAATGTTACACGTCCGCTAGCTACAGCTTACCTCGTATTTTAACTATCGGCTCATGACGATGACCTTTATTTGGTTCGCTTAAAGTTACGGTCCGCCATCGGGACGACAAGCAATTGTCTGCTCTCGATCGGTTTCGGTACTCTCTTCCACCGCTGTTTGCCGTTTTTATCGTTCATTATCGTGCACCGTGATATTCTCTACAATTTATTACGCGCGCAGGCTATGTCCGATGTCGTTATTACAATCGAGCAGAATTCTACGAGTTTCGTTAAGCCGACGAAAAATGTGACCGAATTGAATTCCGAAGTTCTCGCCGTTTCACGCTTCGCGCGCGTCGAGGAACGTTATTATTTACCATGAAACGAGACACGTTTTACAATTAACCACGTTTTACAAGCTGCCCCGATTCACGCGTGGCTCGCTTCTTCGGCAGACGGGGCCCGAACGGTAACGAGAAAAGTTTCTATGGACTCGTGTTGTCGTTTGAAGGTAAATCTGTGCTCCCGAGCAAGTCGCAGCTGGTTCGGCTTGAAAGGGTCGTCATCGACGACCGTCGAAGATGGCCACCGTCGGCCTGCAGTTTCTCAATCCTTCGAGATTTCTTTCCGGGAGAAAGGAATTATCGAGCATTGTTGTCGAACAGTTCTGAGAGACTTCCTTTCGACGCGATCCCTGATACCCTTAAACCGCACGCTTGCTTGCAATTTGCCAATCGTTCGCCAATTCGGTGCAGAATTCGCCGACCTTCAATCGACGCTTCCAGCGGACACGGTTTCGAGTCGGAAGACCTCGAACAGACATTTCGCCTCGTCCCGACAGCGGCAGAGATTCCAACCGGAAACGCGGGGTCCGTGAACGAAATGATGGGCGGTTTCAAAATGAAAATGTTGTATCGTTAACTCTAGGAGAAATAAAAAAAAAAGAAGAGAAGAAGAAAGAAACGTAGTCCGGCGTGCGGTAAAAAGTAAGCACCGTTGAAACGAACTAAACGAAACTCGGAACGTTTCGGGCAGTCTCGTCGGACGCTGAATGTCTTTCGGGGGAGCGGCGTTGTCGAAGAGACGCGACGAGGACCCCGAAAACGAGGGTTCCTCCGCGGAAACGTTCCTCTCCCCCCGCACATCTGTTTCACTGCGTCCAGAGCGAATTTTCGGATTCTTACAGTAGGCAGTTACACGATTATGTTCTGTTCTTAAGTAAAATTAACGCATTGCACCTACTCCACCCACTCGGATTGTATACTCCCTGTGTTCGCTAAGATCTCTCGTTAACGCGCCCGCAGCCGACCTTTCCACCTTCGATTAATCAAAATTAAGAACCGCGATGTTGAATGTCGGATAATTTGCTTGTTAAATTGTCCCGAAAGGCTGTGTAAATACAGTTCGGTTATATATCATCTGTACTTCTAATTGCAAGGAAAATTCAAATCGCTAACAATCTTGCGAGATTTACTCGAACTTTCTTCTTTAATAACTTTTTGAAAGTCGATATCGTTACCAGTTTCTATCGCAAAACCGAATCTATCATTTTTGCAACCGAGTTCTGAGAATTCGAACGTAGAATACGAGGAACATAACTGCAATTGGTTGTGCTAATAAGCAACGCCTCGGCTGCCAGCACGTTAACATCACACGTTCCCACTGCCGTTCTATGTACACGCGTTCTCTCACTATCAATTATTGCTCGCGAATCTATCAGGCTTCACAGACTCTCTCGAATATTATAAATCGCCGCCGCGCGCGTAATCCGGCCGAGATGACCCGACGAGATGATCGCACCCGTCGATCTCCGTCCCCGCGTCGACAAGATGGCGCCGCCGCGAGGCCGACGAAATGGCGCACGGCGGCCGGCCAGAAACACGTTCACGCGTGCACAGGGGCTGGCTAGCTCGAGAAATCGTTCGCGTTCGAAAGATTGCACTTGCACCGCGGGCTCCCGATCCCGGGAACCGAGTTCTTCGGCTTCGTCCCGCACTATTTACACGCACCGGCACGTCGATCCGGATGATCCATGTCCCCGTCGATCTCACTTGCCGATCGGCTTCGCTTTCGTCGAACGTCGAAAATTATCAGTTCGTAGCAACGATTGTTTACGGACGGAGACGATCGTCAGCGAAAGCGCCCCACTTCGTATTCGTCGAACCAAAGTGCGCTCGGTAGAAACGCGTCGAGGTTCGCATCGGTGCGGAGCCACGTTTTCTAAACGACAAACCGGTTGCACCGAGAGACCGACGACGACACCATCGAGAAAAGTGCACCGATTCGAACCCAGCTGCGTCACTTCCGAGCCCGCGACCGTCGGTTCACGATTCGCACGCTCGAATTCTGTCGGACGTCGCAAGCGTTCGGACTGCTTCGTCAAAGACGCAGGACCTCGGAACCGTTTCGAGTCGCTCCGCGTCCTTGCGGAAGCATTCCGAGCACGTTCCCCAGCTGCCTAGAACTCGCGGCAAGATCACCCGAAGAGTTCGACGGGCACGGTATCACTCGCGACCGCGAAAACCCGGAGGACGAGCCCGAAGAAGAAGGTTCACCGGAATGTCTCCACCGTGTCTCCGACCCTCGGGACAGGACACCCGCGCACGATCAACTATGTACACATCACAATGATCAGTAGAGCGCGTTGAGCAAGCACTGCTCGTCGCTCCAGTCCAGCTGGCAAGGATTCTCGGTCTCGTGAACTCAGCTGAGTTGATAATATTCCGGCGCGAAGTCGTTGGCCAGGTTCGTCAGGAAGTTGAAGTCCGAGGAGCTGTTGCTGTTATCGGCCGACGGCGGCGGAGCGGCACCATGGACAGGGTCCCCGTAGAAGTTTCCGTAGTTCCCGTAAGAATCGGCGTTGCCTTCTGCTTGGCCCGTGCTGCCGGGCGGAGTGATGACAGCCGCGGTGGCAGCGGCGATGGCAGTGGCCGTGGTGGTCATCCCGGGCGCTGGGAACGGATCGGGCGAGGAGACGTAACTGTTCGGAATGTTGGAGGCTTCTCCGCCTTGGTGCACGTGGAGCTGACTAGCCTGCTCGTAGTAGGCGTTCGGATGACACTTGTTTCCCGGCCGGTACTCGCCCGAGCTGGGGTGCATGGGCGGTTGATGGGCCACGTAGCCCTCCGCCGTGTGTTGTTGCTGGTGCTGCTGTTGCTGCTGGATGTCGTTGTAGTAGTGCTGGCCGGTCTGCACGGACACGGCCGCGTGGCCGTGGGAGGTCAGATTCTCGCCGGCCCCGTGATAATTACCGCTGACCGGATAGCTGTAGTTCCCCGGAGCCATGTAGCTCTCGGTGGACTGTTCGTGCTGGGGGTAGCCTTGGCTGGGCCCGTAGGCATTGCTGCCTTGCATGCCTCGATGATAAGACGCGTGATAAGGCGGCCCAGCTTGGGGATACCCGTTGTACTCGCCGCCGGTGTTGCTGTACTGACTCTGCTGCTGATGGAACTGCATGGAGCCGGCGTTGTACATCGTCCTCGAAGCGTTGCCGGTTGTTCCTCTCACGTGATGAGGCACCCTGGACCCCAGCACCTGGCTCTGTCTCGCGTACAGCGGATGGACCTCGCCCGGGTACGAGATCCTAGGCTGCTGGTAGCTATCTCGGGAGCAGTAGTTGCTCTGCGACTGCGACTGTTGCGTCGCTGCTGGGACAGCTTGCCTGTTCGGCACGCCGTTTCGATAGTCGACGGCAGCGGTCGACTGGTAGACGCTCTGCTGCTGGAAATGGGTCTGCTGGGCGTTGGAGATGCTCCTGCCCCCGTGGGGAGACATGGTGCCTGCGTTCGTGGACCCGTGCATCATGGGCGGCGCCACCGAGCTGGTCGAGGACGGAGAGCTCCTGGGCCGCTGCATGTACGCCGCGTGGGTGGCTTGGATCCCCAGCGGACTGCCCTGCTGCAGTTGCACGGACACCGGGGTGCCGGGTGTCGAAGACGGCGTCAGGCTTCTCGTCGAGTTCTGGCCAGGTAACACGGGTGTGCTCACCGTGGAGTCCGGCATCGCCAGCAACACCCCGTTGCTGTTCACCGAGCAGAGCTCCTTCGTGCTGGCCGACGGCGACTTCTTGCTCACGGAGATCTGCTTGCCAGGGTTCGGGCTCTTGTGGCCGCTCTCCACCTTCACCCTGACGTCGCTCGACAGCTTCTTCGAGGCCACGCTCGGCGACGTCACCTCGCTGCCGTCCTGCGACCTCGAGTCGTCGTCCGCTATCATCTTCTCGAACGAACTCGACACGCTGTTAGTGCTGCCCACGCTGCTCGCGCCGTTGCTGTTCGCGTTGAAACCCGGGTTGCTGTTGTTGTTGTTGTTATTGTTGTTATTGTTGTTTGTCGCGCTCGGGGTGTTGTTGTTGTTGTTGCTGCTGTTCCGGCGACCAGACGAGCTCAACTCCGTCACGTCGCCGGCTAACGTGCTACCCACGTCGCTCACCCCGGAGATATCACAGTTGTGGCAGCTCTTCTTCTCGTCGCTGTCCAACGACAGCAGCTTATCGCCTTTCGACTTCTCCATACCGTCGGACGTCGAGCCGTCCTTCTCGTCGCCGTCCTCCTTGCTCAGCGTCTGCCGCTTGTGCTTCATCCGCCGGTTCTGGAACCACACCTTCACCTGCAATGCAAACGTTTGCGCTTTTGCTAGACCCTGCTGACAACATCGAGGAATCTTTCTCGTCGAGCATTGTCGAGATTCGAACTCTCGTGACTTTGTGGACAAGAATCGCGGGCCGAATTGGCTAGGCTCGTTTTTAAGACGGAAGCTTCCTCTTTCGCGAATATCTGCTCGTTTTCTTCGGGTGCGATTTTAGGGTGCTTAATACGCCGAGTCCGTCACAAATGGGTGACACTGATTTTTAGCTGGGTTTTGAAATTCTTTTTTATTGTAATATATTTGAAGTGAATGTTACTAGGGTTTTTAGAATGCAGAGGACTATGAGCTGATAGCTGCTATAGTAAATTCTAATTTTCTAGTCTCGATTTGATCGATTAAATTAGTTAAATCTTGCGGGAAATTTTTGGCGCGATATTCGGCACTTAACGCGTTCACAATAAGTCTATTAGTGGCTGCTATTTCGATTTGCAGTTTTGCAGTTTTTATTTTTAATCTTTTAGGATTTATCAGAGCTCTTCGATGAGAGCTGATTGAATAAATTCGCAAAACGTCGAAAGATCTAATAGATTAGAAAATGAAGGTACTGCACTCAGTTCGAACAATTTCTTCCAAGTTTTACTAATTTCAGACCGAGTACATTTTTAATGAACGCAAGGTCCCAGACGATTCGATGTGAACGAACTGGAAGTTGGCGGAACTCTCGTTGTTCTCACCTGCCTTTCCGTGAGATCCAGCGACGCGGCGATCTCTATTCTCCGCGGCCGGCACAGGTATTTGTTGAAGTGGAACTCCTTCTCCAATTCGAGGAGCTGCGTGTTCGTGTAGGCCGTCCGCAGCCGCCTCGGCAGACCATTCTCTGAAAAATGAGAGGTTATTCTTCTCTTTTTGTTCAGGATCTACTCCCCATTTCGTGCCGGATTGCTTCGAATTCTTTCCTAAATAGAAAGTCGAAGAAGATGGACTCTCCTCGAGATACCCTTCGTTTAAAAATCGGAAAATTATCAGAAATAAAATTCTTGTTACCGACACTTGGCTCTAGTATGACAAATAATCTAAATTTCTTTCCATTGAGAAAAATTATAGAAGACGTAAAATCAGTGTAGTTAGGGTTAATTTTTTATACTACAATTTCTTATTAACCATTTAAGGACGAATGTCGACATAGTGACGACATTAGGGTTGCAACCTTCCTATTGAAGTTGCAAATTTATTATTCCATTCGGTAAGTAACAAAACATTAGCATACATTGTTCAGTTTCCTATTATTCTATTTCTTATTAATCATTTAAGGACGAATGTCGACATAGTGACGACATTAGGGTTGCATATCTTCCTACTGAAGTTGCAAATTTATTATTCCGTTCGATAAGTAACAAAACATCAGCATATATTGTTCAGTTTTCTATTATTCTACTTTTTTATTATATTTTTTTGTTTACTTGTATTACTATACATAATTTATTTGTATTGTTATGATCTAGTTTTCAGGAGGAAAACATTTTCAGCATTGTCCAAGTCTCTGATACGTAAACTAATCATCCCAGGAAGAGATGTTCTCAGCAATCTAAAAAGTTCTAGTCCACAAAGGGTTAATTCTTTGGACTGCGGTCATTGGTCTGAAGCAGCGGGACCTTGAACCTCGTGTCAACGAACCGATTAAGCCCTCGGCAGATAAAGATGTCGACACCCTGTCGCAAGATTCGTGCGACGGGAACACATTTCGCGGGGCAAAGGCGGTCTCCGGTTTTTGCCCGATTACGCCAGCCGAACAGTCGTTTAATTAATGATCATTTAGGCGATTCGCGAAGAGCAAGGGACGCCCGCGCAACAATACAAGCTGTGAGAGAGTGAAAGAGCAAGAGAGAGGAAGAGAGAAAGAGAGAGAGAGCGAGAGCGAGAAGTGAGAGAGACGGAAAAAGAGAGAGCGAGTGAGAGAGGAGCGGGGGGATAGGCCCCCTGCGTCGACAGAAGAGAACCCCCTGTTCTGGCGTTGTTCCGGCGGGCTGCCGGGCTCCTTAGAAACTTTTGGCCAAGTTCCCAGCCGGCGGTATTCCGTGTCGATGCGAAACATCTCGTAATTATTATCTAGTAAGAAACTTGTCGCGAGATAACGAGGGAAGCGTCGAAAGAGGAAGGGACCTAGGCGGGGATGAAAGTAAGAACAGCACGATATCTCGATGAGGAACTACGGTAATCTGCCTTGGGGATGGTGTAAACAATCATTAATAGTCGCCTACAGTAATTACACACCGGGACCGCGAGCCGTAATATTTCAATCAAAGTCTCGATACTTAAAATTCGACGGAAGTTCGTTTAAAATACTGCGGGGAAAGGGACGGTCTATGGAGCCAATTAACTCCTCGGCAGCTTTCATTTTTCTCCAAGACCGGATTCCCGTAACTCGATGTTCCTTACACTGCTCGTTTGTACAGTTTTTATGTTAATCTGCTTGTTCGGCTGTTTGCCGGATGAAATTGAACAGCGCCAGATACACCGTGTTAAAAAGGAATTAAAGGTAACTTGGTTCGAAACTATGATCGTGAAAGAAGTTGTCGATTCTGATTGGTTATTTTTGCCGAATAAAAGCGGCCGAAGTTTATCGCGAGGCGAACTATCGCATGAAAATGTCTTTGCTCTTTTCTTTTAACAATTTTAACGGGTTGTGTATAATGTACAAATATTCTCGAATTCTTCCAATGTATTCGCTGTGTATTCGATCCAATCATTTTTGAAAAAATGCACCATTTTTATAGCATAAATTTATAAACCTTTGCCCTTAAATGTCCAATTTTAGAAGACGACGATTCTGATATATACATGCTTAAACATTTTTGTTTCGTGAAGTCTGCAACGCTAAAATCGTATGCCAAATCCTACGTTTAACGGAGTAGTTATTATTAACAGTACATAATTATTTATTTTATTCGAAGCGGCACTCACTGTCTCACAAATAAATAAAGGGACAGAAGCGATTAAACAATCCTCGTCAAGTAACGTATCGATGCCTAAAAATTGTCTACGATCTTCACGAATATATCATAGCCATTAGACTTCATAGTTAGCGTATTATCAGCCCGATGCTGATTAGCGATTGCTTGCGATTAGCGGCGCGAATTACCGAGAAAAGTAGGACTCGCGCGAGTGAAGGTATCAGTGTCGACGGTCTCTTAAATCGTGAGAACACAGAGAGTCCGGGGGGCTCGAGGAGACAGAGAACATCGATCGAGGTCGATTAACCGCGGGCGTCTACGATGTTTCCTCTCGCAACCCTGCGTTTCCCTAGCCATTTAGTATGTTTCTTCCTCGGTCGAGAGGTGCGGATGACAAAACGCGAGTAATCGCCGCGAGGGACGCGCTCCATGAAAATTGAATCGCACGACCGGTTCGCCTTGGACGTAATGCGTTTCCCGCGGTTTCGCCGATTGTTCGGTGACGGGGATAATTGAATCGTTTGTTTCGCCGGTGCGTGTGCTTCGATTTTTCTTCGTTTATTGAGAATATTAGAAGGGACGGGATGTTTCGAACGGTTATGTAAGTTATTTTTCTCGGTTTTCTTGACAGTAATTAATGAGACCGGACCCGTAGTATGTTAATGCGAGCGCGGCGGTTTCTTGCTCGCGTGTAACGCGAATAACATACACACCGCCGCGCCGCGTGGAAATTGCTGCGCCGCGAACAATCGAACCGACTCGCTCGCCCGGCTCTACGGTAATTGTTGAAAAATCGCGCGCCGCCACGTTGCATCGGATTCTTTCGTTTCGAATCAAATCCCTATACTCGTCTCTTCTCCCTCGGCCGCTTGATATTTATATCCCCTCGTCTGCATCGACACCGATTTGTACAACAATTGCGTTCATTCAGCAGCGTGCAATCGCTTGTTCGATGAATTACTAACGTTTGTAATTGATGCTATTGTTTCTAGGAAGCGTGTTCTGCTCGTGTTCCACTCCTCTGCAAATAGTTGCGTCCAGAAAACAGGTTTTACCTAACGCTAAAGCTATCGTGTCGCAGATCTTTTATCTTCCAACATCGTTGAAACCGTGAAAATTCACCGATAGAATACGGTTGAATGAGATTCTTAACCCTAGCATACTTTAAGGGAGATTGGAAAAGTGTCCATAGAATTTTGAACACGTCTTTTTGTCCCAACAATGCCGTTTCATAAATTTTTCGTATTTTATTTTTGCGCGTACCGAAATCTATTAATGGAACGATACTTAAGACTAATGAAAAGAATAAGAAAAATGATTTTGCATAAAAATCCGGCGTCTACACATTCGTCACTTCAGTACCAACACTAAAACCGCAGGGTCATAATGATCTGTTCCTGGCTTTTTCTTGAACCGTTGCCAAAATTATACAACTCTTTCGATCAGAAATATTTCGACGAACCTCGTTATACGGTCAAAGTTTTGGTAACTCGAATTTGGTCACTACTACAAGATAATATATTATACAGTAATTTATTATATATACAGTATACTGTATACATTATTGTACAGTAATTTCTCCCTAATTCGCGCTCGGATTGCGCACAAAAATGAACAACTTGGTAAGCTGTCTCTTATACACATCTAGATGTGTATAAGAGACAGGTATACTGTATACATTATTGTACAGTAATTTCTCCCTAATTCGCGCTCGGATTGCGCACAAAAATGAACAACTTGGTAAGCTGTCTCTTATACACATCTAGATGTGTATAAGAGACAGGTATACTGTATACATTATTGTACAGTAATTTCTCCCTAATTCGCGCTCGGATTGCGCACAAAAATGAACAACTTGGTAAGCTGTCTCTTATACACATCTAGATGTGTATAAGAGACAGGTATACTGTATACATTATTGTACAGTAATTTCTCCCTAATTCGCGCTCGGATTGCGCACAAAAATGAACAACTTGGTAAGCTGTCTCTTATACACATCTAGATGTGTATAAGAGACAGGTATACTGTATACATTATTGTACAGTAATTTCTCCCTAATTCGCGCTCGGATTGCGCACAAAAATGAACAACTTGGTAAGCTGTCTCTTATACACATCTAGATGTGTATAAGAGACAGGTATACTGTATACATTATTGTACAGTAATTTCTCCCTAATTCGCGCTCGGATTGCGCACAAAAATGAACAACTTGGTAAGCTGTCTCTTATACACATCTAGATGTGTATAAGAGACAGGTATACTGTATACATTATTGTACAGTAATTTCTCCCTAATTCGCGCTCGGATTGCGCACAAAAATGAACAACTTGGTAAGCTGTCTCTTATACACATCTAGATGTGTATAAGAGACAGGTATACTGTATACATTATTGTACAGTAATTTCTCCCTAATTCGCGCTCGGATTGCGCACAAAAATGAACAACTTGGTAAGCTGTCTCTTATACACATCTAGATGTGTATAAGAGACAGGTATACTGTATACATTATTGTACAGTAATTTCTCCCTAATTCGCGCTCGGATTGCGCACAAAAATGGACAACTTGGTAAGAGGAGATACGATTACTCGAGCCTTGTGACTCGTTCTTGTAGTCAAGGATTGTCAACAACTGTAAAAACTCTTCCCGAATCGTCCATTTTCGTGCTCAATCTGAGCGCGAATTAGGAAGAAATGACAATACGAGCTCGGCGTCGATAATTCTGCTGTCACAAATTGATTCTCAATTTTTCTCCGCGCCGTGCGCGTACAACTTCCCGTAGCTCGGACTAGCATAAAAGCGGAGGCCCATCCATCTCCCGAGGTCATCGTCGTCATTATTCCAGCCCGGATTCGTCGAAGGCCGCGGCGGACAACGGTGGTGGATGGACAAGCGGCGATCGTTCCGCCCGGTAACAATCCAATCGAG